CTTTATGAAATATTTTATTGAATATGTTTTTTAGAGCAGCTTTTCTAGTTATGAGTTCTTTTAACTTTTGTTTATCATGGAAGACTGTATTTCATCATCAATTCTGAAGCTTAATTTTTCTGGGTATAGTATTCTTGGATGGTGCCCATTTTCTTTCAGAGCTTTCATATTATTCCTAGACCTCCTAGCTTTGAGGGTCTGTGTTGAGAAATCAGCTGATTCAGATTGGTTTTCCTCTAAACATGACTTTTTGTTTTTGTCTGTCAGTCTTTAAAATTCTATCCTAAAATTGTATGTTAGGAATTTTCCTAATAATGTGCCTTGGTGTGGGTCTGTTGTAATTTTGTGTATTTGGTGTCCTGTAATCCTCCTGTATCTGATTTTCCGTTTCATTTTATAGGTTTGGGAAATTTTCTGATATTATCTCATTGAAGAGATTGTGTATTCCTTTGGTTTGTGTCTCTGAGCCTTCATCCATCCCAATAAATCTTAAGTTTGGTCTTTTCATATTTTTCCATATTTCTTGGAAATTCTGTTCATGATCTCTTGACATCTTTTCTCCATGGTCGACTTTATTTTCAAGATTATATATTTTGTCTTCATTGAGATGCTGTCTTCCTTATTGAAGTGATGTTTCACTTCTGTATTTGCTCTCTGATACCACTCCTTATATCATCCTTTACCTCACAGATTAGTTTAACAGTGTACCTTCTAAACTTCTTCTTTGACATATCTTCTACAAAATCGATGGATTCTGTTGCTGGAGTATCTTGGCTGGTTTGGGGGCCATTTGTTCCCTTGGTTTTTCATGTTGTTTGTGTGTCTACCTGATTAAAAGTATGGATTTGAGGCAGTAGATTTTCTACCTGTGGACTTGTAGCGTCCCTGAAGGTTTCTAGTACCTAACTTGCAGAGAAGTTACCCATCTGCTTTCTGAGTTTCACACCATGGAGCAGCCAGGAAAGTGTCCGGCCCCATTCCACTATCTTGCCAGATGTCCCTCATTAGCTAAGAATGTCAAATAACTAACTCATCTTGAACTGAAAGCTGTTAGACTTGGCGAGTAAATCAAGGTTTTTATCCTGCTCTTTCTACACCACTGAACCTCAGGGTGACCAGACAGTTGGGGTGGAACTTGTTTTTAAATAGAATTATTGCACCCATGAATGAAGAAGAAAATTAGAAATTATAATAGCACCTACCATTTGGGAAACCCTAAAAGTTGGGGAATGATCCCACTTCGGGAATGATCGTGAGTAGTTGCAAAATCACAAAAAGGAGTCACAGTCACTGTGTCCTCATTCCAACAGACCAAGCCCTTGAGCCCCTGGATTAGCCCCACAGCTCAGCCTCTGGTGTGGTGTCTGCTGGTGGTAAGCCTCTACATAGACCTGTGGGCACCAGGACTCTGAAGCCCCATGGCCCTGCTTTCTGTAAGTTTCTTGTTGGAAGGAAAGAAAACAGTATGAGAGGTGCAGGGAGGAATGCTGTAGGAACTCAGTGGAGGAGGTGAAAGGCCCCTGAAGAGCCTCACACAGGCCACAGAAGGAGCTGGGGGAGCACTGCAAGTCACCAGGAAGAGGATGAGGGAGAGAAGGAGAGGAAAGTCCAAGGCCATCAACAGAAAATAGAGCTGTTTAAAAGGAGTGTCAGAGGCGATTGGCCCTCCACAGCCCACCTGTGCAGGGTTCTTCGGGCCACCGTAGTGTTCTGAATGGTAAGGTGAAAGTAAGCAGTGAACTGTGAGAAGGGCAGCATTGCAGTTCACCTGTGAGGAGGTGACGGCTGAAGCCATTGTGTCTGCAGAGTGTACTTCATTGTCTACCCTTGGCAAGTGGCACTTTTGTAAATTTAGGGATGCATTTTGAACCTGGCATTTGCTCAGAGCAGTGCCTGTAACTTGAGAGACACTCTCCATGCTGGAAAGTGAAAGTTTGGAGTAAGAAAAACTAGAAGTAGAGGGTGAAAGAAAAACTGACATTCGGAAGGATGTGCCTGTGGCATTAGCTTTATTGGTAGGTTTATGGTCTCTCTCAATGATGGCCTAAACCATACAATGTTTTTAAAATACTGTAGTGAAAACATTATTAAGAAGTAGAAACACTTAAGCAGATTTATGATTCTACATTTTGATACTACACAAGACATTTGGCCAATACTTTTTATTCTTTCTCTCTTATATGAAAATATAAAGTGTAATTTCACTTGAAAATGAAAATGAACAGGTTAGTGTGTTCTTCCATTATGGGAATCTGTTGTACAGATGAAACTTTTCCAAGTCCAAAAACCCAACAGTTATTTCAAGTAAAGGATTCTCTAGTAGGACATGAGTATCTTTATTTATTAAGACTTACACAAACATAAAGTAGTTTATAGATTAAAATCTATACTCTCCTGGCTACTGAACTTCGAAGAGAAGTGGAAGCTTATGTTTAGACATGTACACAAGCCAAATAAGCTGAGATGATGAGCATTTGGCCCAGCAAGTTGAAACCAAGGATAAGTTTTGTCCAGAACATCAATCAAAAAATAGCTCTGATTCCAAGTTCTGCACAGCTCTCACACTGTCCCAGGACTCTCTTATAAATTGTACATAGACATCTCTCAAAAACTTCCAAGTCCAAGAATCCAATAAAAACACCCATGGCAGCTTCTCTCTGCATCATAATGAAATGATTCTTTGAGTAAAAATTCATAACCAAGCAGAATTTTGCTAAATCAGATAGCTATTTTATTTGAGAGATTCTTCTGGCTGTCTTTCAAGACACTGGAGCTTGGGATTTCTTACTGTCAGTGACCCTTCCTCCCTGTTCTATGACAAGAGATAGAGAAAGAGATAGAGATGATGTTTGAGGTAAGCAACCTTAAGCTACTAGAGGCAAAAATCAATTTGATATCCTTTATGCTTTGTGAGTGTGCAAATTCTAATATTTATTCAAATATGCACTAATCCGGAAGTATTTCTTTGGGGAGGACAGATTAAGGCATGCTGAAGGTAGATGCCAGAATAGACTGAGGCAAGAGTTACCAATTAAAATGGATGTTGCACATTGGATTTGACAATTTGGAACAAACATTGTATGAATTTTTTTCTACTTATAGCCACTTTATGGTACATTCCAGTTTTTTTAAAGGGGAAGTATTGCTTGAAAGAAAGAGAGGGAAGAAGGAAGAGCAAAATTCTTAATTTTTAGATGAAACAAGGAGAGCTTCCGTAGTCAGGCTTTGGAAACTCTCCAGTGTCCAGCAGGCTCCAGGAAACTCGGGGGATTGTCATGGTATTAGAGCCAGTCAGAGGTGCCAGAGTCAAAATAGGCCACGCTGGCCATAGTAAAGGCCCAAGTGGGAGTGTATGTAGGTCACTTACATGCTTTGAATTTAGACAGGCCAAGTTTACACAATTATTTTACAATTAGGCTCTGGAGAAACACTGAAGGTTCTGAATTTTTAAAAAGGTGCTTGTTTCACAATATATAAGAAAATTGCAACATCCACTTGAATGATGGCCCCAGTGGCTGGCTGGGTGTGGAGGAGCCAGGCAGGGAGTGCTGTTTATGCTGCCGGTCAGTCCTTGCCCAACACAGAGCTGGCATTTGTCTTGGAGAGTGTTTAGGTGACGGAGTGGCTCAGGACTAAACAAGCATTTTCTTAGCTACACTCAATAAATACTATTTTCAGGGAATGAAATGATTAATAAAAGTAGAACATAGTGCTCTTAGCAGTAGAATTTAATTTCACAGTATTTATTGAATATCTGCCATGGCGTTGCATGGGAAGTTCAGGAAGTATTGATAGGAAGCAGGGAGACCAAACCCTGTTGACCCTGGTGCCCTTTCTTCTCCCATGGAGACTCTGGTCCCTTGTCTCTTAAAATGCTTCTATTTTACTCTCAGCACATGTTCCCAGCCTTCCACATATAAATGCACATGACAGGGGCACAAATTGGCCCCACAGGAGACCTGTGCCTAGCAAGGGTTTGGGCCTCCAAGGGAGACTAAATTAGCAATATTGCAAATTCTGCTTTTGTTTGTAGCAGCTGCTACTGTGGTGTTCTTATTTAAAGAAAGTATTTGCTTTTCTGTAAATACAAGTAAATTTCGTACCTCTTGTCATAGCAAAGAAAACTCTCTAAGTGGTAATCAAGGGATGAAGCTGATTTAAAACAAGTCACTGAAATTGAAAATATTATTGTCAGCAACACCGTCTCACGCTTTATGAATTCACCAATTTTTCTGCCCTGGTGCTGCTTTAAAGTTGTTGAAACTTATTTTAACTAACAAATATTTAATTTAAAAAGTAACATGCTTACAGTTAAAGAATCAAGTTCGTGTGGTTACAAGATGACCAGGGCAGCCCAAGGGACTAGCTCCCTGTGCTGACCTTAGAATGGAGTCCTTACTTTGCATTCACTCCACTGTCCTTTGTCCTGCCGTCTCTCTGTCTGGCACACTCTTCCCACACCCACGGATGTTTCTCACCATTCACATCTCGTCACTGTGTTCCCACTGTAGAGGTACCCCTTGGCCACCCTCTCTATATTGTTCACTCCCCCACCCTAACCCCTCCTTCACTCATGTCACCTGGCCTTATTATCTTGTCCTTATTCCTCTCTGCATTTACTTTATTGTTGCTGGTTCATTTTCTGTCTCCCCTCTGGGTTGGAGGTGCCTTGAGGGCAGGGGTCTTGCCCATTTATTTATAGTTGTATGCCCAGCACTTAGAAATGGCGTGGCCCATGGTACACCCTCAGGGAATAAAGGGTGGTTGCAAGAATTACATAATGATATGATGACAGTGCCTGGTACCTGATGGGAATCCAGCAAATAGAAGTTTGCCAACTGTCTCTGCCCATCTGCCTAAGCTCTGTGTATTTAAGGCTGATTTAATTAATCTGAACTGTTCTGTCTTGCGTGGCATTTCATTACACTGAGTACAGTAAATCATACCTCCTTGTCTACAAAGTAGTCCTCCCTTTGTGTTCATTTGAGTATAATGTAAATATTTTTTATCTGGTTTTTCAGGCCGTCCTTGCTGGAAGGAACCATGAATTGGCATTTTTCCTTCTTCCTCTTGACCACAGTGACTTTGCCCTTTGTGTGCTCCCTGTTCAACCCTCTGCCTCTCGAGGAACTAAGCTCGAACATAGGGATCCAAGTTTTCAATCAGATCGTCAAATCACGGCCTCATGACAATATCATCGTCTCCCCCCATGGGATCGCATCTGTGCTGGGAATGCTGCAGCTGGGAGCTGATGGCAAGACGAAGAAGCAGCTCACCATGATGATGAGATACGGCGTGAATGGTGCGTGTGCCTTCTGTGCTCCCCAGCGGGGCCTGCAGGAGACCTGCATTAGGAGGGACACTGTGGGGTCTTTGCTATCGCCCTGAGAAGCAGAGCATCCGGAGGTTATGCTGCTGCCAGCTGGGGCCCAGGGTCAGCCTCTTCTGCAGAGAAGATGCTCAGGAGCTGGGGGTCAGAGGGACTAGCCTCTTTTGGTGTGGCTTTGTGTCAGCCACTACATCTCTCAGTTCCCACCTCCAGTCTCGGCCACTTGCACGGTGGACACAGCTAAAGTGCGTTGAGTCCTAAACGTTCTTGTAAAGCATGACAGGAGGGGAGGTGGCAGAGGGCAGCACCGGGAGCCTCCAGGTCTGGAGCTCTCCTATGTGTCAACTGTGGGAACATTCCAGGAACCTGCCCAGGTGATAAAGTTACCTGTAGCTATACACGTGCATGCATGAATAATGAGTGACATCAGAATGAGCTCGGTGGACTGGACCGTGGGCAATTTTTTGATGTGACCATTGGGAAAACTGGGTGTAGGATACATGGGATGTCCCTTTCTATTGTTTTAAAACTACTTAACTCTAAAATAAAAACCTAAAAATATTTTTTTCAAATTAAGGATCCATGAACGAGGTTTAGTTTTATCAAGAGCAAAAAAACCCATTTTTAATTACCTGTTTAATTGCACCATGCCAGCTTGTGTCATCCTACACCTCCAAGTCACATTTCACGTCTGGGCCTTAGCTGTTTCATTGGAAATCAAGGAAATCTTCCTACCTGAAAGCCATTTCCTACCCCTGCAAGCCACTCATTTCTAAGAATCATCCCCACCTTGATGCCTTTGGCAGGGAGAGTAAGAGGAGAGGGGCAGGGATCTGTGTTTCTGAGTGCCTCACTCTAGGCGCCCACTGGCCTGGATCTCAGTGGGGCCTCCAGGGCCTCCAGGACCAAAGGTTTAGCTGCCCTGCTCCATTATCACAGCGTGAAACTTCTGTCTTGAGTTGCAGTTTGTTCACCTGTTGGAAACAAGGAAGGGATGAATTCTTAGAACACACTGTTCCACCCCCTGCTTGGATGTTCAGAAACTGGGTGATTTATAACTTCATTGTGAATCGCTGTGAAGATTTATGGCTTTTCCTACTGTGATCCAGGTCCTGCCAGCCAGGACAACTCCAGAACGGCAATAGGTTCTTTTTTTGTTTGTTTGTTTTAATGCTCAGCCACATGAATTTGAAGTCATTATTTCTGAGGTTTTCATAATATTGTCCTGTTGGCCACCAAATCCATCCACACCCATTCTTCCTCCAGTCACATGAGGATGGTGACGTCAGAATGCAGGTCATTTTGGTCCTGGAGACCTGGCCCCTGGGTGCTCAGTGGTAATACTCCCATTGGGGAAGGAGGCAGGTCGGGACAGTGGCAGAAGATCTGCCCTGGTCTTTTCCTCATGGGATACGTCAGGACTTGTGGAAGGGGCCTGCGTCAAAGCAAGCTGGCACTTGGCCTTGGAAGGGACTTCAGCCACTGCAGCCCATTGCTCCCTCGCTTGTAAAATGGGCCTAGCCCACAGGATGGTGCGGGGGGGGGGGGTCAGAGAGACCCGTGCATATTGAAAGCCCCTTTGTGTACCATGGAACAACCATGCCCTGCCCTTGTTGAAGGGGTCTGAAGGACACATCCATTTAGAGTGACAAGTCAGCCCTTTGGAAGACTGTCAAGGTGACTGGCAGGTTATTCTAGGACACTGTGGTTTTGAAAAGACACCAGGTGTTGAAGAAGAATCTGAAATTCAAGCTCTCTGTAGAAACAAAACATCTCATCCTTATAACTTATTTTTTTTCTTTTTTGTGCTCTAAAACTAAACGGAGCATGTATGAATGGCTCATGTAAAATAAAGCTTATGTTGCCATAAAATTAATGTCTTTGCTTTTTGAGCTTGATATCAGGGAAAAATCACATTGTTCTGGTCGGTGGCACATGGCAATTTTTAATAGTCTTTCTAATGCTTATTTTATTCATCTTTTTTTTTTCCCAAAAAGAAAAAAAAAAAATCACATTGCTAAATCCTTGGCAAGAAGGGAAGTAGCACTTACAATTTGTAGACAAGAGAGAGAGTGAATTGGAAGTTCCCTTTTTGGATCCCCACGTGGCTATAGAGGAGCATGCCAGCGTTCAGAAGGACCTGGTGCCCTCAACACAACCTTAAGAGACAGTCCCCTGAGAAAACGGGAGACTGGCTGCTCCTGCCTCGCCTGTACTTGTTCGCTGTAATACAAAAGCTCGTCTTAATGCTTTTTTCGTAAATATTTCTGCTTTCCGTTTTTTTTCCTTTAGGAGTTGGTAAAATGCTAAAGAAGATCAACAAGGCCATCGTGTCCAAGAAGAATAAAGACATTGTGACAGTGGCAAATGCCATGTTTGTCAAGAATGGCTTTAAAATGGAACTGCCCTTTGTTACAAGGAACAGAGACGTGTTTCAGTGTGAAGTGCAGAGTATGAACTTTGCGGACCCAGTGTCCACCAGCGATTCCATCAACATGTGGGTTAAAAACGAGACCAGGGGTGAGTGGCCACAGTGTCTGGTGTGACTTTGCACTCCGAGTGGAGGGGTGAGGAGGACTCCAATTCGTAGAGAAATGCCCGGCTGGGAAGCCCCTGGGGGCTGCCTACCTGGAGTTGGGGCAGGGGCAGCGCTGGGCCCTTCACCTCTCCCTGTGGCTGTGTCTCCTCTGCAGTTCTTGCCCACAGGCACTTGTCTGTTTCAAGGGTTTTCTGATGTGTCCTTCCTGCTTTTGCTGCTGTCGTCCCCTTGTCTGGGACATCCCGTTCGTCCTTGGCGTGGTTTGCCACTTCACCTCTAGCTGCCCGCTTGTTCCATCCCCTGACCCTGAATGCCCCCTCAGGTTCTCCTGGCCTATGATTATATGTCAGCAAACTCCCCATTACAGCCTTTCCGTCTCTCACGATGATCACTTATTTAGGAGTCTCTACCTCATTCATTAGAGGGAGGAGATGCCACCACCAGTGTTTTAGACCTGCTGGTCCGTAAACTGGAGGTGCATGTGGAAATGTTTAGGAGGAGCTGTGGGCTAGAACAGCAGAGGACGTCGGCTTCCCTAAGGCTAGGAGTGCAGATTTGGGCACCTGTGGTCACAGAAGAGGCAGTCACAAGAGTGGTAGCTAAGAGACTCCCCAAGGAGAAGCCCAAGGTCAAAACCCAGGGAAAGCACAGTCTTCATGTTTCTCAAAGCACAGTCCTGGGGCCTGTGCATCAGAATGACCTGATGCATGTTTAGAATGCAGAACCCTGGACCCGGCTGACCGAGTCAGACTCTCTGAGGGAGGCACTAGCCGCCCATCACCCTGCTTACCTATGGGAGGTGGGCGAACCCTTGGAGGAGCTGGTGAACAGTGAAGAAGAACGCTCAGGGCAAGTCAAGCCCTGGTGGTTTTGGCAGATCCCTCCTCAGTCACTGTGCAGACCATTCTGTTTTCCTGAAACCATGACTGGCTCAGGAGAGCGGCAACGCGTGCTCAGTGGTGTTTCTGGGCCATGGAGTTTGTGGACCTGGAAAGATAGGCAGCCAGCAGCAGGTGCTCTCAGATCTGGTCCCTGACCCTGTCTCTGGCTGATGATTGTGTGATGTCATTACACCAACCTGGCCCTCCTCTTTATCTGCAGGATGGCAGTATTAAATTATGTTAGTGTGCCACCTGGTGGTTTTCAAGTATTTTTAATATTCCCTTTAATACCCTAAAATGAATTTTACAGGTAAATATACCCTCTGCCCACATACACCAATTAAAAAAAAAAGACAATGTCAAACCATAAAAGCAAGGGAAAATAAAAGTAAGTAACATATGTGGTTCATAGATAAACTCTTGGGTGTAACTATACCTGAAGACATAACAAAATACCAGATTCGTAAAATAATTGTGAACTGTCAGCTACAAAAGCAGGCTAAGATGGCTGTGCTGTACTAGTGACTCAAAAGCCCTGAGCCCTGTTATTACCATTGCTGATGCAATTTTTTTTCTATAGTTATGCAAAATGCTTCATAAATTTCAAAACAACAAAGCATAGGCTCCATTTGATTTTATTTGCCTTGTAGTCACATTTCTGGCAGAATACACACATACAAATCTATTTCTATGGATGAATAGCTTGGGTTTACATGCAAAAAGAGTAAGGTTCTGGGCTCAAATGATTCTAAGCAGGCTTCTGACTAACACAGATACTGGGTGAGTACTTGAAAATCATGCAAGGAGCAGGGCAGTTCTTCATCATGTGAGACTCTTGAACAGTGCAGAGCGTGCAGCTTCTCTGGCTACTAGCCACGCAACCAAAGATGCTCCCACAAGTTTCCAAAACTGGAAGATTGAGGAGTTCATCCCAAGGAGATGCTAGTTTCTTCCTTGCAGAGAGGGAGAGTCAAACACGCAGGCACTTAGCTGTACTCGTGTTACGTCTGACCTGTCAGACCCTGCAGTCTCGGTTTCTCCAGGTAACCCGTGTGCCAGCCACGTGGGCTCCTCTTGGTCCCCTTGCTTCTCACCCTGTGTCCCTTCTCAGACCCACACATGCATCCAGCAGCCTGGGATGTTTTCTATCCTGCTTCCCTACATCAATGGCAGCTCAATTCTGCCTTCACGTGAGTGCATAATAGTTAAAAAAGCAGGTTCTGGGTTTGAAGCTCAGTTCTGCCACTTACTAACTATGTAACCTTGGGCAAGTGACTTGACCTCCCTGTGCCTCAGCATTCACCTCTGTAAAATGGAAATGCAATGGTGACACCTATGAGAGTAATAACATGGCATAAAGATTGTCATGAGGCCATGAGTAATACATATGAAGCATTTGGCAGAGGCCCAGGACTTAGGAATTGTCCAGTCTGTGTGAGCTGTTTGTTATTTCAAGTAGTGCTTCCTCGAGGACCCCATCCGTCCTTGTCCCTGCTGATTGGTTCAGAATCCCTTGCGTTGGCCCTCACAGTCCTCAGAACCACTACTCTAAGGTGTTTGTAAAATAGCAGCTTGGTGCTTTACCAAGTCTTTATGCCAGCCCACCTCTGTCTCAGCCACAGCTCTTTGAGGGCAGGGATCATATTTTGGTCTCTTATATAAGAGTGCCCTGGCACCCGGTAGTTGGGTGGGTATCCCAGGATGATGGCCAGCTGGATGATGGACACACATTTGTGGCAGTTACTGATGGCAGGTCCCAGGTGCCTTCTTGCCTCCATACTGTGCTTCTCTTACCTTTTTTCCCCTTAGCCTTTCTTTTCCCATCTATTGCTTTCTGCCTCCTTATTATAGAATGATCCTAAAAGTGGAAGTTGTAGGCATTATTTATTTCTGCAAAAAAAGGCTGAGGAGGCTTCCTCAGACACTTTGGAGTGCTGTGTGCGTGCTGCCCGCAGGGCTGGTGGAATGGGTGGCAGTGTGCTCGCTCTAGTGCAGTTCACTTTAGCTGGGGAGGGAGGCAGCTGAAATGGTGTCATGGTGCTAAGCCTCGGGCTTTATGGAAGGTTGAGGGAAGAGGCATCTCACAGGAGGTAGGGAGGCGGGTCATGGGAGGCTTGTAAACAGAGAGGACCGTGGGGCTACATCTTTAAGTGTAGTAGGGACTACAGGGTAATGTTCCCATCGAAGGCAAGAAACATCTCTACGCTGGAAACGAGGTCTGAGGAGCTCACAGTTGGAGGAGCAGACCTCGACCCTTGACGCCTCTTCCCCCCCTCCCCCCCACCACAGTGCCTGCCCAGCCTTGTCCTGAATTGAATGATGCCTGTTGATAGCTTACTGTTCCTTTCTGGTCCCAAGTGAAGGTGGCATTGCCGCCCCCTTGTGGCAGTTAGGAGCTGCAATGAGGCTGTTGTAGAATAGAAATGTCACCTGTGCCATTTGCCATGGCTCATTGAAATGTTTGCTTCCTGTGCCCAGGATCCCCTTAAGCTTCAGTTAAAAGGGTTTAATGCTGTCTGCTGAGTTAGGTGGCATGGCTTCTTTAGAATCTGTTTATTTTATTGTCACCACTAGAAGAATTATGTCTCACATCTGTGTCATGCATTGCTTTATTGAGCAAAAAATTTCAATGAACTAATTTTAATAGTGTGCACATGTACACACACACACACACACAGAGAGAGAGAGAGAGAGAGAGAGAGAGAGAGAGA